AAAGAAAGAAAGAAAGAAAGAAAGAAAGAAAGAAAGAAAGAAAGAAGAGTAGTATGGGGGGGCAAGACACGAGGTAGGAAGGAAAGGGGGGAGGAAGAGGGCTGGAGGGAGAAGGAAAATGATAAAGGCAGAAGTTGTTTCCAGTTAAATTCATCTACTTCTATCTATTGATTTGATTAACCAGGGTTTTTTTCCTACAAAGTCCTCCTGAGTCAGGTATTTGCAAGCAAGTTTGAATTTTTGAACGTGTTCATTGTCCTTTTCCTTTTCTATAAAAGTGAATAGGAATTGAGGGACCATAGGCAAGAAAAGTGGGTCACACTTTCCCTAGGCCTGACTGAACTTTAACTTCTCCACTAATTAAACAACACTGGGTTCTATACTTTGTTTAACCCTGGGAATTGGTCATCAGCCTTTGACCTCAGCCCTCCCCTTCTGAACAGCTCCCTCCCCCATCTGGCCTCTGGACCTCTGTCAGATTTAGAGGAAAGAACCAGTTTTCAGAGAGATTGCCTCAGACTGCATCATCTCCACCTGCCCAGCCCTGTGGAAGCTTACCGACCATGTTTTCCGATGGGACAGGAACGGTGATTGCTGGAGAAAGGTAAGGGTGAGCTTCACCTCTGCAAACTCCTGCTGGGTTTTTGGAGCTCTGAAGGACTCACCAGGATGACCTCTGACATTTTTGAGACGACCAGGCCCTCTCACTGGTAGTTAGGTCAAGACCTGTTTGGAAGACGTCATTCCAAGCTCCCTCCCTCTTACACCCCTCTTGGGGTAAGGTGTTTCTCTAAGCCACACCTTAGGTTCTTAGCCCAAGAAGCAAGGGGGAAGAATGTCTTCCTTTGTGAAGAGATGGGCAGTCCAGAAGACACTCCAAGGGAAATTTCCAGGGCCTGGTCCTAATTTCCTTTCTGCTGCTCCTTCTACTCGACTGCTCCCCTGCCCAAGGTCTCAGTGGCCACTGACTCCTAAAGCCCTCCTCCCTTCTGGACACCACAAGCAGCTCCTTGATGCGGGGTGTCAGGGGAAGTTAGAAGTAAGGAAGTCCTCTCCCATAGTGGTTTTTGTTTGTGTCTAACAGAGCTCCCAGGGCCCCTCCACCTTCCTATCATATTTCCAAACACACTTAAAGAGCAAAATGGGAAACAGAAGGCAACTGAGATAGGGAGACAGATAGCAGGGTTTGCTCACATCCTACCCCTGCCTCCTCTTCTTTGCCCTCACTTCCATTTCTCCTTTGGTGCCTCCACTTCTCTCCCATTCTATGCATCTGTCCTTGAGAACTGGAGAGTGTAGAACTGGCCTCAGCCCACACAAAGAGACAAGTACCCTTTGGCTGCTCTCAGCTTCCAGCCAGCCCTTCTCTCACTTAGCAGAATACCTCAGTGAGTCTCTTTTGCACTATGTGCCTGTGTTTTTCTTCCACAAGGAGACTGAAAAGACTCAGTACCCACCCCACACCAACTGGAGGTAGCCTAGTCCACCCTGTCTTAATTACAGGGATTTTCTGGAGACTTTATTTCTTGGTTTACTCTACTGGGTGTCCAAATTCTCTTATGAATCTCACTACCCCATTGTTGTCATTTATTTTTTCAGTCAAGGTCTCATCATTATGCTTGATCCTCTTCCCTCAGTTTCCCAAATGTTGAGGCTGTGGGTATAGCCCACCACATCTGGCTACTTTCACTTTTTCAGAGATATCAAGCTGAGCACTTGGAAGCTGGACACAGGAGACAGAAGTTCAAGGCCATCCTCAGCTATATAGTGATACTGAGGCAGCCTGGGCTACCAAGACCCTGTCTCAACCCCTAGCATCCTCCCCCAAAGTGAGATTATCTTTACTTTTAATGACCTCTTTTAGAACCTATTAAAAATTTCAGGCAACAGAAAAAAAAAAATGAGGGGCAGAACAAGGGCAGAAGCAGTAACAGGTGGGAAGACGAGGAAGTGGCACTAACTGAATCTAGGGTCAGACTAATTGAGGAGGGGAAGAAGGATAATTTCAGATGACTCCCAGGTTTGTGGGCTGGGTGTAGGGCACATAAGCCTCCCATTCACTGAGTGGAAGGGCAGAGAAGGCAAAGCAGGTGTGGGGGCAAGAATTACGAGGTCAGTAGATCACATCTCACTATGGAAGTGGCAATATTTCCAAATGGAGCTGCTCGGACAACAGTCAGGCTGGCGACAGATCTAGATGTCTTCAACATTGCAGATGCTTCCTTTTCTCCATTAATTCTCTTACCTCTCTTGTTCAAGATCCTTCCTGTCCTTTAAGGTTGTAGCTAAATTCCATCTGGTATGGGGTTTTCCTGAACACCTTCTTCCCTGACTCTCCCCTGGGCACTGAAGTTCCTGCCTTTTTTCCAAATGTGCACGTTGTTCCTCTCACCAACAGGAAGCTTTAGGTTCTTCCTTTCCCCAGCAGAGCATGCACACTTGTAATATATGACTGAGTCCAGGTGAGTGAGATCATCAACTGGCAAGGAAGCTAGGGCTAGGCTTATCCTGGGCACTTTTATGCTTTCCTTTGATAAGACTGTGGTGGCCATTGGAGATGGGGAGTTGCACACTGGCCTACCTTAGCTTACCTTTCTGTCCCCTTGTAGGAAAGCCCTTCTCCTCTCCCTGTTGCTCATTGGTGCCTGGAGCTGTGTGACCTGTCATGGAACCCCTGTAGAGGACATCTGCATAGCCAAGCCCCGGGACATTCCTGTGAATCCCATGTGCATTTATCGTTCCCCAGCGAAGAAGTTGACTGAGGATGAGGGTTTAGAGCAGAAGATCCCTGAAGCTACCAACCGTCGGGTCTGGGAACTGTCCAAGGCCAATTCCCGCTTTGCCACTACCTTCTATCAGCACCTGGCAGACTCCAAGAATGACAATGACAACATTTTCTTGTCACCCTTGAGCATCTCCACAGCTTTTGCTATGACCAAGCTGGGTGCCTGTAATGACACCCTGAAGCAGCTGATGGAGGTACAGTGTAGAACCCCCTGTCTTCTTTCTTGCTGGGGGATGTCTTTTGGGCTTCCTTGTGTTTAATGACTCCTAAACCAGCTCATCAGGTCATGTGGGAACTCTGTAGGTTAGGATTCTTTTTCAATCACTACTTCATGTGTTGGGATACATTTTGAAAACCACTCTGGCTTTTCTGTTTTTGAGGTAGGCTCACTATGTAACCAAGGTTGACCTCAAATTACTATTACTACTATTGTAGCCCTGAATGGCCTCAAACTTGTGGCAATCTTCCAGCCTCCTGAGTGTAGGAATCACAAGTGTGAGCTACCATGTGGCTAATTTTTTTAAATTAAGCAAGAAATTACTACCTAGATGTCTGCTTTATAAATCTCTTACCTATTCTATGTTATTTTAATTTTAAAAATTATTCTACTTATTGCATCCGTGTGTGTGTGTGTGTTGTGTGTATGTGTGTGTTGTATATGTCATGGCATGTATGTGGAGGTCAGATGACAACTTTTAGGAGTCAGTTCTCTCCTTCTACTTTGTTGAGGGAGAATCTCTCATTTGCCACTTTGATTGTTCCAGGTTAGCTGTCCTGAGAGCTTCCAGGTGACTCTTCTGTCTCTACATCCCATCTAGCTGTAGGAGTGCTGGGATTTCAGATGCAAAGCACTGTATTGGACTTTTTGTGAGTTCTGGGGATTGAACTCAGGCTTTCGATTTGGGCAGTAGGAGTTTTTACCTGCTAAGCTATCCTACTGGCCCACAGTCTATGCTATTTGTAAATATATATATTTTAAATGTTTTATTATTTTCATGTGTATGAGTGCTTTGCTTGCATGTATGTAATTGCACTATGTGCATGCCTGGTGCCCATGGACTCCAGAACAGGGCATCAGATCCCCTAGAACTAGAGTTAAGAGCACGTGGCCACCAGTATGTGGATGCTGAGAACCATAACTGGGTCTTCTACAAGAGCAGCAAGTGTCCTTAGCTACTGAGCCATCTCTCTAGCCCCCTATGACATTTTTAGATGGGAGAAGGCTGGTGTTGCCTAAAACTTCTCTTTTTAGTCATTCTTTCACATCACATCACACACACACACACACACACACACACACACACACACACACACACACGGGCTCAATGTGTAGCCCTGGCTGGTCTGGAACTCACTATGTGGACCAGTCTGGCCTCAAACGTACAGAGATCCATTTGCCTCTGCCTCCTGAAAGCTGAGATTAAAGGTGTGTACCATGTTAGCTTTTGATTTATTTTTTATTTTATGTGTATGAGTGTTTTGCCTGAATGTATGTAAATAGACCATGTGTGTGCAATGCCCATGGAGGCCAGAAGAGGGCATCAGATCCACTGGAACTGAAGTTACACATGGCTATTAGATGCCATGTGGGTGCTGGAAACTAAACCTGGGTCCTTTGGAAAAGTAGCAAGTGCTCTTAACTGCTGAGCCATCTCTTCAGCCCTAGTTATTTGTCTTTTGAGACAATGTTTCATTATGTAACTCAGGCTGACCCTGAACTCACTACACATCCTAAGCTGTCCTTGAACATGTGATCTCCATGCCTCTACCTCCCACATGCAGGGTTTACAGGTGTGTCCTGCCATGTCCAGTCATTTCTATACTCATTCATTTGATCATTTATGTGTTTCCCTATACAGCACTACTCCTATGCTAGGCAATAGGCTGAGGGGTTGAAGACTTTCAGTTCAAACCTGCCTTGGTAGAAAAGAACACTTGCTACCTGGTAAGCTCAGGCATATAGGCTGCCTGTTGGAATTCTAGGGTTCTGTATTGAGATCTGGGTCCCAGGAAGCTGAGGACCCTTGAGGATATGGAACATTTTAGGGTCTGGACAGTAGTGATCATTTCAGATCAGTGATTCTGCCCCATCCCACCCCTATCATGGCAGGGCAGAGGAGATAAAAGTGGTACAAGAGAACAAGAAATGCCATAAACCAAATAGCCAGTGATATTACCTTAAGTCATGGACAGAAACACTACATCCTTACTCTGCCCTTGGCTTGAGTGTCTAGCTAGCTTTCTTTTGGTTGGATCTCACTTTGGAAACAAAGATAAACAATAGGGAGGCAGAAGACCCTCCAGCATGGTTCAGTGTTCTTTTGGATCCAAGACACCGAAGTCTGGCTCTTAGGTTTACCTTTGCTCAAGTGGCCAATTTCCACTAAACTTCATTAATTTGTTCAGACACTGGGATGGGTTAACTCATGCCTCTATCCCACAGAAGAAACTTAGTTTTAGAGACTCTCTGTAGTCTCTGTACTCTGCTTCTTCTGGGTTTTTGCCAGCACCAATGCAGAAGAGACTGTCCTTTCCCTGTTATGTGTTCCTGATGCTCTTGTGCAGATGGCTGCATATTAGAAACTCCTGAGTTACAAATGCTGCCTTCTGAGGCCTGTCGGTAAGCTCACATCCACTGGTATTGGTCTCAAGCACTGCCGTCGATTCCATGTCTCTGTCTCCAAGTGTGAGCTTAAAGTGACCCTTTCTATAAAGAGAACTTCCTATAAACCAGAACTGGAGCTCAGGGCAGAGCACTTGACTAGCAATGTGTAAGACCCTGGGTTTAATCTCCGTCAATGCAAAACAAAAACAAAAAACCCTTCAGAGACAGAACATCACTTCCAAACTAAGCATGCCATCTGAGTACTCCTTTCCACAAGAGCTTCTAACACAAGATGCTAAATAACAGAAAAATAGTGGTGGGATTCTATCTAGAGCAAAGAAAATCTTACCATCAAACTTTTAGTAAAAAAGCATGATAAAAATTGGGGAGGAAGGAGACAGGGTCTCAAGATAGCTCAGTTGTAAAATGTTTGCCTTGCAAGCATGAGGACCTGGTTTGATCTTCAGAATCCTTGTACGGAAAGCTGGGCATGATGGCATGTGCTTGTGATCCCAGCACTGGGGAGGTAGAGTCAGGTGGATCCCTAGTGCTCACTGGTCAGCAACCTTAGTGTAAGCAGCCAGCTCCAGGCCAATGAGAAACCCTGTGTCAAAAAGAAAGAAAGAAAGAAAGAAAGAAAGAAAGAAAGAAAGAAAGAAAGAAAGAAAGAAAGAAAAAAAAGGTAGGGCTGGAGAGATGATGGCTCAGAGGTTAAGAATGCTTCTTGCTCTTCCAGAAGACTTAAGTTCAATTCCCAGCACCCATGTCTGGCAGCTCACAGCTGCTTGTAACTCCAGCTCTAGAGAATCTAATGCTCTCTTCTGGCCTTCTTGAGCACCCACACACATGTAGCATATATTCTTACAAACATATATGTACACATAAATAAAGAGAAAGAGAAAGGTATATGGTATCTGAATAACGACATCCCAGGTTGTCCTCTTGTAAGAGTGAAACCACTGAGGACAAGTCAGCCTTCGGGTTGCAACAGCAAGAGGTTTATTTAGTACACAGGTACCTGTGGGCACAAAGTCTCCTCGGAGGACTTGCGCGCCTCAGGTCGGGTTTGTGGAACTTTTATAGAGCAGAAGCGGGATACAGAAGCAGAAACGCGGTTATTGGTTA